AGAGAAAAATTTTAAATATTAAATTTAATTTTCTTTCACAATTTTTAATGGTTTTAAAATTAATCTCTAACTTAACATTTTTTATTTTTCTAATTATCAAAATTCCAAATAGTACAATTTTTGGAAGAAATTTTAAATTTAATTTAAATTTTGTCTTTCAATTTTTATCCTCTTTTTTTCATTGATTTTCTAACTTCATATCCATTCATATGCTTAGTTATTCGATAATATTTATCAAAATTATCAATGATATATGTTTAGAAAGATCCAAATGATAAGGTATCAGTGAATGTTGAAATTGTCGAAGAGAAAATATTAGATCCATCAGAATTTGATATTGCAACGGTGGCATGGATGATAATATTTGGTAATTTAATGAATAATTTTGTTGATGGTATGAGTAATGGTGCTGCATTTGCAAATTCATTAGCACGTGGTTTATCAGTTGGAATTGCTGTGATCACACAACAGTTACCACAAGAAATTGGTAATTAATTTGATTCATTAATTAGCACTGTTCTAATTTAATTTAATTTAACTTAATTTATTAGTTAGCATAGTTCTAATTTAATTTAGTTTATTAATTAGCATAGTTCTAATTTAACTTAATTTATTAATTAGCATAGTTCTAATTTAATTTAGTTTATTAATTAGCATAGTTCTAATTTATTTTAATTTATTAATTAATATAGTTCTAACTTTTTTTTTTATAAAATGTAGAATATTATATATTTTATTTGATGAATATATTGAATATAAAAAGCTAAATTAATTAATTTAAAAGCTTTAAAATAATTTAATGTATAATTATCAGACAATAAATGATAACTTCTTCTCCTAGCAAATTTATATTTAATTATTATATTATTTTAAAATTTTATTGACTAATCAATATTTCAGGAACATTGGCAATTTTAATTCAATCTGGACTTGGATTTAAACGAACTCTTTGTTTAAATTTATTACCAAATTCGCTTAGCTATGTGGGTTTTATTGTTGGTGTATTAATTGGTGATGCAAATGAATCATATGGAAATTATGTCTTCGCCGTATCATCCGGAATGTATTTGTATATTTTCCTTGGTACATTGGTAAGTAATATTTATACTTATGTCTTTTTTTTTTTTAATTTACCTTTTTTTTTTTTCAAAAATTTATTCAATTTATTGCTTATCATTATTAATTTAATATATTTGTTCAATTTATCTACGTTACCAACTATAATCACTGTTAATTAATTAATTAATTAACAATTTTATCATCAAAAAAGATGACTATTTTCATCGGTTATTTGTTTAATTCATTTCAAAAAATTAATCAATGATTTTTTCTCTTTTTTTTTTTTGATCAAATAAAAAATCTCGAAATTTATAGATACCAGAAATTCGTGATTCAATAAATGAGCAAATTAAAGTGGATTTGAAACGAAGCATACGATCAACTGCTTTACAAGCTATTGGTATATCAATGGGAATTATTTTTATGTATTTGATATGTAAATATGGCAATGAAATTTATATGTTATAATTAATTGTATTAATTATAAATTAATTTTTTAAATATTTTAAGATTTTCTATCTTTGACGAAATTTAAATCTTTTCAAATTGTATATTAAAAAAAAAGTAATTGTATATTAAAATTTATTAAAATAGAGAAAAATTTCTTCATTTTCTTTTCATATATTACAAATAGTTGTAATCATTCATTTTACTTCTCTTCTAGTAGCTACAACTCTTACTCTTATTTTACTTTAATGTAGCTACAACTCTTAGTTATACTTTATTTTAATTTTTTTTTTTACTCTTACTTTTACTTATACCTAATGCTGTTAGATTAATTATTACATTTGTGAATTTGTAAATATTTTAAAAATGAATAAAATAAATTGCATGTTAGCTAACTGGTTTGTCTATCCGGTTCAATATAACTAGACCGGAAAATCCTGCCTTGTACACCGATCAGACATTAAATACAACTACAACAAAAAATAAACTTTAAAATTTCACTCGTTAAAAATTCAGCTATCAGTAAAATCCCATCAAATGAAATACAAACGTCACGGGCCACGTTTTTCCCGTAAAAATATGAGTCATTTGATAATGGCAATATGTTTGCACGTGCTCACGTGTTCGTGCGTGGACGTCTGCGTGTACGTTTGGGTATGTCTACGCAAGTGATGCTTGATGCATTGTGTAGATTAACAATACTATCATTATGTGAAGAGGAGAGGAAGAAAAGGGGAAATATTTAATTGTTCATAATTTGTTATAATTCATTTTTTTTTTCTTTGTTGGATTATTTTCAGCTTTACTAATCTTCCAAAACACAGAAGCAAGTGAAATTGGCATTATCTGATATTGTAGGAATGCTTGCAGCATGCAAAAATTGCATGCAATGAGACTATACTATCAGTTATTTCTATTATGCATTTTGCTATTATACTTCGACAATGCTTTATGTGTTAGTTTCTCGCGAAATCTAATGAACAAATATCGGTAAATTTTTAAACAGAAATTATTGCATCATTTTCTTTTTCTTTTAAATTTATTTAAATTGTTTTTTAAGAGTGATTTCATCAAATTTTACCACAAGTAGTTGAAAAATGCATTATTATGACAGTTTCGAGATGTCGATTTATTCTGTTCTTTTAGAAAGCGCCATTCTCTTTGTTTCTTTAGACATTTATGATAAAATATTGCAATCTTAAAATCTGAAAATGTCTCATTGCTAAGTGATTTTAAGAATTAATTTTTTAAACTTACATGCATGAGGAAATTTCAGAGTTAATATAAATGCATTCATGTAGTTAATTTATGAAAAAGTTAAAGCTCTAAAAAGGAGAACTTTGTTTTCACTCATAGTTTTTACATGCTGAATTTTTGTTGCTAATGTGTAATTTAATTTTGAAATACGTAAATTGGTCTTAAAAATTTGTTCATTCATTATACAATAAATTTACATTGTTGATGTGAAATTTTTATCGAAAGTTTCATTGCAGAGACAAGGTGAAAGCAATGTTTTATCATGCATACAACAGCTATCTTTTGCATGCTTACCCACTTGATGAATTGAAACCACTTTCATGTTCCGGTATGTTCGTATCTTATATAATGAATTTTAATTCATTATTTTAGTGAATTCTTTTCGAGAGTAGATAATTTATTTAATTTTTGGCAGAACCAAAGGATCAAGCAGTAAAAAAAATATTTGATATTGGTATGATTATTTAAATGTAAGATAACAGAGCACTAGAGTGTAGTATTCTACTGTAGATTCTTTTGCTGAAATTGGAAAAGAAATGAGAACGATTATTTCTTTGTCAATTTCGTTCTTCTTAAAATGTTTTAAACATTTATTGAACATTTATCTTCCTGAAATTTGATATTGTGTCTTACTGATACGATATTTATTTTTACTAATTTTTTACGTACTACGGTTTTATTTTAGGCATGGATACATGGGGAAGCTTTAGTTTAACGTTGATCGATTCATTGGATACGCTACTTATTATGGGTAATGAAACGGAGTTCATGCGCGCTGCTGAAATTGTTCTACGTACTGTTAAAGTTTGTTAATTTGTTAATCATTTATTGGTGCTCTTTTATATATATATATATATATATGATTTTTGTGCTGGATATTTAAAAATTTTTTTTTTTAAATTTTATAAATTTAAGAGTAGTTTCAATTATTATTTGATGACTAAATGTAATAATTTGAAGTACATATCACACTTGTTAGTTCATCTATAATAATGAGTGAGTAATGATGGAAGACATGATTAAAATAGAGGTAATTGCATATGTTGGAAGTGAAAGGATTCTTCTTATTATTTTCTTATTAAAAAAGAAGAATTCTTATTATTAGAAATTAACAAACTTTCAAGGGTTTGGTGTTATCCAAGCTTCTTTCCTCTTACTTTCATTTTCTTATTTAGGTTGATATGAATGTTAATGTGTCAGTATTTGAAACGAACATACGGGTTATCGGTGGTTTATTAAGTGCTCATATGCTTTCTGGACGAGTAAAAGGTTAAATTTTTCCATTCAGTAGTATTCATCTAATAATTTTTTTCTTTTATTTAACAGTAAAATCCTTTGCAAGAATAACCTTATTGTTGTTCTTCTTAATTCAAGGAATGGAATTAGAACCGGGATGGCCTTGTTCGGGACCTTTACTGCGATTAGCCGAACGTTTCATCCAAAGGCTGATGCCTGCTTTTAAATCTGCTACAGGAATGCCTTATGGGACTATAAACTTAAAGTTGGTTCTTTTTTCTTTTCTTTATTTCTCTTTTTATAAGGAGTTTGGAAAAATGGAAAGGTCATCACAATTTGACCTTTTCTTTTAACGGAAATTGTATTTAGAATTATTCTACCTTTCGATAGAAAATCTGCTACTTCAAAAAAAAATTGTTTCAAAAAATTATGTGATGCAAATTTGTTTATTTTGGACCAGTTTTGTATAGATTGTTAACATATATGAAATCTTTCAGATATGGCCTTCATCCGAATGAAACAGCCATAACGTGTACTGCTGGCGTTGGCACAATGTTGCTGGAATTTGGGACTTTATCACGCATCACTGTAAGAACTTGCATAATTACTTTGATATAACATAAGTCTTTTTAATTTAGAATTTATAATCTTTCACTTGTTTTAACTTGAACTGAATTATTTGAACGATTTTTAGAACTTCCTAAGATATTTCATGACAGATAGATTTACAATAAAATTTCTCTCTTGCTTGAGAAATCTTTAGTAAATTTGATGAAATTTGAACAAATGTCGTATTTTTGGGTAATCCACATTATGAACGATTAGCTCTGAAAGCATTAGATTCTCTATGGAAATTGCGTTCATCAATAAATTTGGTTGGAAATCATATTAATGTGGAAACTGGAGAATGGACTGCAACAGATGCTGGTATTGGCGCTGGTGTAGATTCATATTTTGAGTATCTCGCAAAAGCTGCTTTATTATTTCAACGTCCTGAACTAATGAAGCAATTTAAGAGTAAGTTAAATTAGATGCTTCATTCATTTCTATGGTAAAATTAGTGTGTTACGTAATATACATCCATACTAATTTCGATCCATTCAGCGTTAATTTTACTTTGAGTGATAATAAAAAGTTTTTTAACGATGGATATATATATATATATATATATAGGTTTTAGTACTTTCAATTCAAAAAGCATTTCATAAGTTGTTGCAGCATATGTAAAAGCAATTAATAAATATATTCGAAGAGATGATTGGTTTGTATGGGTTTCAATGACTAGTGGGCAATTATCAATGCCTATATTTCAATCTTTAGAATCATTTTGGCCTGGTGTATTGGTTAGTGATTTGATTTTTTTATTAAATTTTTGCACAGAAGATTAAGATTTAATATACTACCATATCTTTTTAGGCACTGACTGGAGATGTTGATGATGCACAGCGAATAATTTATCAGTACAGTCAAGTGATACGACAGTATGGATTTCCACCAGAGTTTTTCAATCTTCCAAAACAGGAAGCGGTATATCTTTGCTTTTTCTATTTTTGCTAATGACGCTATTACTATTTTTGAATTTTATTATAGTAGGTAAGGGAAGATTTTTTTTTTTCATTTATTTTTTGTTTAGCTCAGAATGTAATTGCTTGAATTCATTTAACGAATTAACTAATAGTAGCGCTTGATTTAAATATAGAAAACATCAGCTAAATAGTTTTCTTTCCATTTATTAATTCAGACGGTTATTTTTTGCGAAAGATTGTGAAAGATATAGGTGTCAAAGCGTGCTGGTTACCCACTGAGACCGGAATTTGTGGAAAGTTTGTATTATGTTTATCGAGCTACAAAAGATCCCTTACTACTAGAGATTGCTGCTGAAGTGGTTGATGTAAGTTATTTTCGAATATTTATTCAAATGTTAAGAACTAGATCTTTAGTGTCTATTTTGTCAATTGTAATGTTTTTAAGCTTGAGTATAACTTTCAATTAAATCATAAAATTGCCGAATGATGCTTAGCTCTTGCCAATAAAACGAGTTGAGAATTTCTGTCCAGTTCTAACTTTAATTTGCTGAGGTTTTTGCTATATAACAGAATGGAGAATTAATGAAATTAAATTTATATATAACGCACTAACAATATTTTTTTACTTCGTCTAATTTTTTTTCCTGGATTAATTGCAATAAAAATTTCATTAGTCAAATTATAATTTATTAATTTTAGGCTATTGAATATAGCTGTCGTACGAAGTGTGGTTACGCTACAGTTGTTAATGCCGAATTTCACTCAATTGAAGACAGGTTTTATCCTCATACATATTTTCTTATATTTTGCTTTTTTTTCTCATTGATGAATATGGTTAATGAATTGAATATCTTGATGATTATTAATAAATACGATACTACTGATAATAACATATAAATTTTCTTGAATAATATTTTTAAATAATAGAATGGAATCATTTTTTCTTGCGGAAACTACAAAATATCTGTATTTGCTCTTCGATCCGGATAATTTCATAAATGCTGATGGTACCGTAGCACGTATTATTAATACACCAAATGGAAAGTGTATAATCGATGGTAAGTTTTTGTATTTGAAAAGATTATTCTTTGTATTATTTTTCGTTACTTACGAACTTTCTTCTTTTCTATATTTTGCTCCTAATTTTTTAATTTTAAAATACAACTTTTGCGAAAATTTAACATTGTTTACTTTCAGCTGGTGGCTATATATTCAATACGGAAGCGCATCCATTGGATCCAGCAATCATTTATTGTTGCAGTGCAAAACGTAGCAGTGATTTGGAAATGATAGCACGATTCGAAAATAATATTGATCTTGTCGCATTAGCAGGAATTTTTGATGAGACATTACATCCTTTCGGAAGAAGTTCATTTCTTGTAAGTTACATTTATTGTTAAATTGCGAATTTCTTGGCTAGGTCGGAATTTGTGTGGATTAATTAAGTTATATGTACTTTATTTGATAATTTTTTGTTTTGTGTAAATCCTTAATTTGCCTGGTTAAATGTCTTTCCTAAACAATTTGTTTAACTAATACATGATAAGTAAATTGACAGCAAATTATTAATGAATAATTTTCTGCTACTGTGTTTCAAAGTTTAAAACTTTGGCTTGCATCTTCATCAAGTAGATAGAGATGATATGAAGTTTATCAACTACTTTTTGATTTTATCAAATTTTTATATTCAATGTCATAGTTTAATTACTTAATTGAATGTACAGTGAACAAATAAATTTCTAGGAAAACACGGACAATCATGTAAATAGTGGTCAGAATATTAAGAGCAAAAATTTGCTTAAACAATCATCTTTAACAAACCCATGGTTGTATGATTATATCGCTGTTTATGATGATCGTTGCTTGGTGAGTTTTTTTTTTTTTTTTTTGCTGATAAGGTGGTGTCTGTATTTATCAAAACATAGCAAAAATTATTGGTAATTATTGATAAGAATATAGGAAACTATCAAATTGTTAGGCAATACTTGTAAGGTTTTTGGCATTAAACACTGGTTCAGTTTTTTATCTTAAGCGAGAGATTATACAAAGTAGAACTATTGTTAATCCAAACATATATAATATATAAAATAATATATAAGATTTTAGAATTGTTGTTGGCCTACAGATTTCAACATTGCAAATGTTCCATTCCGTCGTTTTTTAAATGTGGTTTTTGCTAAACATATTTATCCTTCAAAGGGTATTCATTTTACTGTTGGATTAACGTGTTTCTCGACCGATGATGATATTTTCGAAACTATAAATGAAGCTAATTGGTCGGGTAAGTTTTTTTTTCAATTCTATATATTTCAGAAGATTTCAAGTGTCAATTTGTTTTATACTTTTTAAATTTCTTATTGTAAAGCTTTACTTCTTCTAATTGTAGATGTGTATGATGCCACTGAACAACTTGCTTCTATTGATGAAATAAGTTTCAACAAATTTCGTTATCGAAGTATGGCTGAAGTGGGCTACGATGCACTTCTAACACCACCGCTTTCTTATCTTTCTAGATTTACTGGATTAGGACAGGTGAAACCTAAATCTGATGATATACAATAGTAATAGTTATTTTATAATATACCTCTGATATTTGTCTATTGTATTCAAAACTACGGGCGACATTTCGTAGCAGTGAGTTCTGTTATTACATTTATAAACAATTTAAAATGGATCACTCTGTTTTAATTTTTTTACATTATCATCATAATTCTTGATTATTTTCCTTGAAAGCTGATAAATCAAATATGACCTTTTATATTTTAATCATTTTAGTACAGCAGAGTACTTTAAATTAAATTTTCGGGTTGTTCTGGTTGATTTGTTATTGTTATTATTTATTTTGTGAACTTCTTTATATTGCAGATAACTTGTGTCTCTTGTTGTTTGATTTTGTGTCATTTTTTTAATGTTGTCACGCAATTTTTCCTCTTTTTTATCTTCCGGAATTAATTTATTCGGTTTACAATTATCGGATTTTTCATTTTTGATTCTTTATGAATTCAGCTTTGTTATTATTCTTTTATTTTATTAATAGTATTATTTGCAGGGCAGTAAATTTCTTTCATATTGTTTTGTTTTAGCAGTTATGGGTAATCTTTTTATCCCATTTCTTTTGGAATCAAGAGTGTGTTAAGAATAAACAATATATTAATATTGTAATTTTTTTTTTGCTTTAAAAATAAAAATTTCACCACATCTGCAATTTCAGTGGTGTTTATTTTTTGCTCCCAAAATCTTCCTTGTTCTATATAAAATTAAAATCAATCAATGTACATTTATGACTCATTGCCTTTTGTCCTGAATTAATATAAATCATGTGAACTGTTTCTTCATTCTCTATTGCTGGAAGAATTTTAGTTTTAATTTTTTTTATCTTTTTTATTTTTATCTTGATACTAAGCAACAATTTAAATTTTGTTTTCTAGATAGGTAAATGATGCCACGACTTCAATTATTTCTGTTGTTGCGTGATAGAGCTTTTTTCACTGCTCGAAGGTGGTCTGTTAATGACTTTACACTTCGTACGCATACTTGCGGAGAATTACGTGTGGGACATGAAAGTTTGTTTGTTCTTTTTTTATTTGCAGTGATTAGAATTTTATTTGTTTGTAAAAGTTCTGTCAGACGTACTGTATTTTAAAGTGTATTCTATTTGAAATTCACATTTCAAATAGAATTGAAGAGCATTTTACATTTCTAAATAACTCGATATTACTCGCAAAATTATTGTTTATTGTTCAGACCAAAAGGTAACTTTATATGGATGGTTACAATTTAATCGCCTAAATCGTTTTCTGGTTTTACGAGATGCCTATGGCTGTGTTCAAGCTAGAATTCCCGAAAAAAGGAAAGATTTAATCGAAAAAATCAAAATGATCAACTGCGAATCTGTTCTAAAAATTGAAGGAGTAGTTGCAGATAGAGGTGAACAATATCGTAATGCAAATATGCGAACAGGTGATATTGAGGTAAAGTTTTACTTCCAAACAATTTTTTTTTCTGAAATTAACAAGTCTTCTGAAATTATGCCTTCCTCTCCCTTACATATTTTGGTTCTTCATCCTATCCAAATTAATTCAAAAAAACAAAAATATCATTTTCGACGGGTAGGTATTTTAGATAATTTCATTGGAAATGAAAACTTTTACAGGTATTAGTGGATGATTTAAAATTATTGAATACTTCACCAGCAAATTATCCACTGAATGAAGTAACATCTACAGAGGAGACGAAACTTCGATATCGTTTTCTGGACTTAAGAACAGAGCGAATGCAGCGAGCACTTAGGTTTTTTTTTTTTTTTCTGCATATTTTTCTTGAAAGAACTTATCATATTTAAGATAAATATGATAATTTGATTTTTCAAGAATTTTTTTTTAAGGTTAAGAGCAAACGTTGTTCATGGAATTCGAAAATATTTGGTTGAAAAAGCGAATTTTACTGAGGTATTCAAGTTGCAAACGTTTTCATTGTACTTTATATCTTTCATATGAAAATTGCATTAAAATTAAATGAAGACTGGCAAACTTTAGAAGAAATATTACTTAGCTTCACTACATCTTTCATGTGTTTCATGTTCTGTGATGTACGTCCCAAAGTATGGGTAGTTTTCTTGTACCTGCAGCGATGACTCTGCGAACTTCTTCATTTATAGTGATAGGTAAAGTATTCTACAAAAGTGTCATCTTTAAGGTAGTTGATACTCTACATCTGCAGTCTAAAAAAAAAGGAAAAAAAAAGTTTGCTTGTGTTTTAACTCTTACTAAAAACTTGTTGAAAAAATATTAAATTTTGCTTTCATCAATCAGTGAATAGATTCCCGTGAAAGTTTTTTCCTAAAATTAACAACTTGATTTAATCTAATTATCGATGAGTTGTTTCTGGAAAATAAAATATGGTTTCAATTGCAGGTGGAAACACCAACTCTGTTTCGACGAACTCCCGGTGGTTCACATGAATTCATTGTTCCTGCACCAAAACCAAATCTTAGGAAATTTTATTCTTTACCTCAAAGCCCTCAACAGTTCAAACAATTGTTAATGTGTGGTGGTATTGATAGGTATTTTCAGGTAAATGGAATAGAACAGTTCATAATTAAATTTCATGCATAATGTAGCCATTATTTTAAGAGTTATATATACAATAATCAATACAATATATTGTTGAATAGAAGAGCCGTGGAATCAACGAATTTTGTATTAATTTAATTTGCAACAAATTTGAAAAAAAGAATGACTTAGAAAGGAACTTGTAAAATTTGTTTTAATGGAGGATTTACTGCAGTTTGAAGTTTGTAACTATACTAATTTAATTGGAATTTTTTTTTTTTTTGTAGATAGCTCGGTGTTATCGTGATGAAGGTGCAAAGTCAGATCGACAACCTGAATTCACACAAGTTGATATCGAATTATCTTTCACTGATCAAGATAATGTTATGAAATTAATAGAGAATATTATTGTGGAATCATGGCCTAAAGAATTGGTATGTGTTTGTCATTAGTTATCATTTCCCTAATTTGTTCAAATGATTAGAACATCTATTGTTGCATTTGAAAATAAAATTTTAAAATAAAAATATGTGCATTATTACATTATCATCGAAATTTCAGGATGACTTGAAACCTTCAGCACCATTTAAGCGGATGAAATATTTGAAGGCAGAACGTTTATTTGGTACAGATAAACCAGATTTGCGTATTCCATGGACTATCGAAGATTGCACTTCCGAGCTTTCATTCTTACGAAAACGTGAAATTCCAAATTTTGTTGTGAAAATTTTCATTGCTAGAAATGCAGATGATGTTGTAAATGAGAAAAATTTAGATGAATGGAGTCGAATTTTGCAAGATAATATGTTATCAAAGGTTTGTAATGTTATTGTTTTTATTGTTTTCCAGTGCAATATGACCACTATAGTTTGTCAAGTAGATTTTATTTGAATTTTTTTCATTTTGTAACTTTCTAATTTTACCATTCGTTTCAATTTGTTTGAATAGCTTTTTTGATGTTCTGGTAGAAAAAATTTTCAATCGGAGATGAAGTCGTTGTTATCATATCGTAAATTATTACTATCAATTTGTTTTTTTTTTTTTTTTCTTATCTTTGTAATTAATGTATTTCAGAATTTTAAATTTCTGAAGATGTCGGAAAAGAATTGGTTTGTGGAAATTCGAAATAACATTCTGATAGAAAAATTTGGCATCAACGAAAAAGATACTGCTGTCATATCGTGAGTTTTTTTTTTTTATCATTTATAGTAAATTTTTGCTCTTTAAGCTGCCATTGCACAACGATAGTTGGAAGATAAAAGAACAGTGTGATTTATTTACTTACAATTAATTTCGGTGTTATTAAATAATTTTATAATTTTATATTGAGTAATTTTATTGTACGTACTGAATAGAGAAAGCACTAATGGTGTAGTAAAGATTGCATAACTACTAAGGCTGGCAGTATATTCGATACTAGTAAAATAGTTGACGTTATGATTAAATTCTTTAAAAAAAAAAAAAGAAAAAACGTAAAACTAAATGGTTTTGTTTATGTGGGGTGATGATACCTGTGTAAAACGGACACTTGGTCAGTTGCGTCACTTGGTAGGTGAAGCGATGCATTTACGAGCCGAGCAGCGTATGGAATTTGTTTGGATAACACATTTTCCGTTGTTTTCACGTAACGCAGAAGGACGTCTAGAAAGTGCTCATCATCCTTTTACTGCTCCTATACCTGATGATGTGCCACTGCTTTACGAACCAAACAAACTTCTGTCGATTACCGGTTGCTTCCTTTTCTTTTTTTTTTTCAATGATTGAATATAAATTTAACAAAAAATTTCTTTTCAAAATGTCACAATGAAAGCATGCTCTGTTACATTTTATCTGTTTTTATCTGCTACTTAGAATTATAGTTTTTTGACCTTTTTTTTTTGATCTGATGAATTGTAGAGCTAGTGTTATAGGTCAGCATTATGATTTGGTGTTAAATGGTGTTGAACTTGGTGGTGGTTCAATTCGAATTCATAATGCGGATGTTCAGCGACATGTACTTTCTACGATATATGGCGAATCATTAGAAGAAATGGTATGTTTTACGAAGAATCATTCTTTTTTTTTTTTTCATTTTAATATATTTAATTATATAGCGGGCAAAGTAAGGATGATTTTATATATCAAACTATATTGTGAGTTTATTTTATATGTATCTATCTGTGTTTGTTCAGTTTTACAAATACGACAAGCTATATCGAACCAATTTCTGTTGTTTAGATTTATTTTTTATTATAGCCTTAATATAAATTTTAATATTTATATTCAGGAACATATGATAAAGGCATTATCATATGGTGCTCCACCTCATGGTGGTTTTGCAATTGGTCTTGATCGATATGTAGCTTTATTGTTTGGACGAGGAAATTCAAGTGTACCAATTCGAGATGTGATTGCTTTTCCGAAAAGTAAGGAAGGGAACGATCTCATGACTAGATGTCCTGTTGAAGCTACTCCATCACAACTAAGCAGGTATGATTATTATTATTAAATTTCAAGGGATTTTTTTATGAAATCTCATTTTTACATATAACATAATATAATGCAATCAATTCCACAAAAGTATAATTTAACATTTTGGAACATTTTGAAAAGTACTGTACTGATACAACACTATGATTTGAGAAATGATATGATATTAAAAAATATTTTCAATAATCCATTCATTTATTCTAAATATTTTTATTGTGTACTTATTCAGGTATGGCATCTCTGTGCCTGTGCCTGTGACAAATGAAGTAGGAGGTGATGGAATTATTGAAGAAGATGATAAGATTCAATCACCAACACATTAATTCATTCTTTTTTTTGTTTTTTGTTGAACCATTAATACCACTTTTTAATTCGGATAAGTAGTAGATTGTTTTAGAAATATCCAGTTTTAGGCAAATATGGCTCATTAGTCATTAGTAAGATGAATATTTGAATATGTCAAAGCATTGTTGTGATTTGTTTCATTTTAATAAATTTGTTAGCAATAAATTTCATATTTGTCAACTTGCGAACATTGAACAGATGAGCTGGTAAACTGATAGGTGTACATCATCTCTCGTTACAAATTGATTAAAATGATTATATAACTGGTTTGATCATCACATTTCACCAAAAATTTCAAGTATGCATTAAATATTTGAAATTTCAAATATGCATTAAATATTTGTGCTTAATTTGCCAAAAAATTTTCGATTATTGAATATTGAAGTATTTTCAAAATTATTCAAGAGTTGAATTTTAATTCATTATAAATATTAAGCTTTATATTTTATCAAATATAACGATTGGTTCCATTTACTTTTTTTTTTTTTTTCATTCCACTAGAATTTATGCAGATGGGTTTGACTATGTTCGGAAATAAAATTTTTCCAGTTTTAGTTGAATTTTAAGAAGTGATATTAGATTGTTAACAAAGATTAAAATATCACTTATATGTTTGGAAGTAAAAACTGGATTTGCATAAGATGATGGACACACATTGTTCTTCTGCTTTACAATTTTTGATTGAAATAGCAAGTAGCTATTTCAGTGATGAACGACAATGGATAATTTAAACCAGTTTTAACTAATAACGAAATATTTCGCATTTATTTTAAATGTAAAATGAGTGGTATGGTTGTTATATGTACAAATAAATGAATATAATTAATTATATTATTTAGATAATCCAAGTTCATAGGATTTTTTTTTTTCATTAAATTTTATAATTAATTAATAAAAATGATTTTTTTTCTCTATTTGTTATTAAAATTTTTTGATATTAGTTTAATCCTGATTTTATGAAATTTTTCTTGTTAGTAGTTTGATTCTGTGAAATTTTTTGTTTGTTTGTTTGCTTGTTTATTTGTTTTTTTGTAGATTTGTTTATTTGCTTTTTTTTGCAGACATTTGTGAATTTCATTAAAATTTTAGTAAATGAATGAAATTGTAATGTATTTAAACATTGATATTGAGATATTTTCCTAATTGATAAACAATATGCAATTATACTGTCAAAAGAATGAATGATAGATGTTTTTTTTTTTTTAAATTATTTTAATTGATAATAACTAATAATTTGATAATTTAGTTTATGTAATTTTAAAGTATTATTAGCTCATAACTGTGTCTATTTCATATTGACTAGAAAAGGCTAAATTATCATATTTAATATCAATTCTGATTAACAATTATCACTGATATACATAATTTATAGTTTGACTATTTATCTGATCAATAACAAATTGATCATTGTCCACAATAATTAATCTTATTTTCAATCGTTTTTTTATAGAAATTAATTTTTCATATTTTTGATATTATACAAATTACTTTTGATATTATAAAAATTAATTTCGTATTTCTAAAAACTCAAAAATTTTCCTCCTACAGCATTAATCATTTAATAAAATACAAATTTAATAAAAAGAAAAAAAAGAAAGAAAGAAATTAATAAATTAAATGTACGAAAGTAGCACAGAATTAAATGATGCGAAATTAAAATTATTTAACTCATTCATCCGGTCATTATGATATTACTAATTTCTATTTATTCTTTTTCATAATTTCTTATTCGTTTATTTTACTTTTAAACTTTGTCTCACTTTTCTCCTTTATTTTACTTTATTTATTTACAGTATAAATTTATATATATATATATCAATAAAATGTAGTAAAAAAATAAAAAGGAATAAATGATAAAACTTTAAAATTTTTTCAGCCTTTAAATTACAAAAAAAAAAAAAAAAATGAAAAAAGAAAGGAAAAACAAAATAATTTGAAATTTGTCTTTTTAATAATTATTTTAATTTTCTATCAATGTAATTATATGAGTTTACATTTTCAATTCAATTTTCATATGCTAAATTCAAATGGTTTTTTCTCCATATGAATTCAAATTAATTAAATAATTAAAACAATTAAAAAATGGAATAGTTTCAGCAATATCAGACAATGTTATCAGTTTTAAGTTTTCTTTATTCTTTTTTAATATATATATTTTTATTTTATATAGATATAGAAACTTTTTATTTTTATTTTTTTTGATTTTTGATTTTTTTTTTATCAGAATATTCCAGGAATTTATTTTTTGTTAAAGATGAAATTGTTGATGTTATGGTCAAATCTTATCAGACTATTATTGCATTATCAACAAAATGTTGTAAGTCAAAAATTAAGCACAACAAATTTAACAACTTCACCTAGGTAACTTTTTTTTCTTTAATTACATTAAAATTTGATATTTTAAATTTTGTGTTTTTCAAAAAAAAAAATTCGCAAAAGATTTAATAAATTTTATTCATTTTATATTGTTTTTATCATATCATTTAAACAAGAAAAAAAACGAAGTAAAGATAAAACAGTTAAAGTTATCGCTAAGAATGAAATTCATAATTTAAAATGAAATCAAATTTCTGGAAAATATAAAATTAACAAACTTTTGCGAAGTATAAATTGAAATTAAAAAAAAAAAACCGAATTTTTAAGAAATACGAAATGAAATTTTTTGAGTCAAATTTTTGAGAATTATAAATTGCTATTATCAAGTCTTCAGAAAATATGAAATTATCAAATTTTTGCAAAATATAAAATGAAATTATCAAATCTTTAGGAAATACAAAATTTAGATTATCAAATTTTTTAGAAATATAAAATAAAATTGTTAATTTTTTTTTTTTAAGAAATATAAAATGGAATTATCAAATTATGAAAAATTGAAATTATCAAAATTTTTGAAATTATTACTTTATTAAAAATATACGTAAATGTATGAAATTTTTATAGCTTAAATATAAATGATGAAACGGAGACATGCTGTGGTCAATGTGCGTTACAATTTATGAATGATTTAATGAAAAGAATTGGAAAGATTGAAACGTCAAATTTAATTAATTTTAATTTTAATAATTTTTTATTTGCAATGTCAAATGCTACAATCCTTCAACATTTCTGCAAGTTTGTTTCTTTATTGTATTATCAATAATAATTTAATAATAATAAAATAATAAATTATATTATCAATAATAATTTAATAATAAAATAATAAATTATATTGTCAATAATTAATTAGGAATGAAATAATAAATTTTATTATCAATAATAATTTAATAATAAAATGATAAATTATATTATTAATAATAAAAAATAAAAAGTAATAAATTATGAGCAAGCAAATTATGATGTAAAAATGTCAAAAAGTAGTGAAATTGTTTTAATTTTGCAAATTAATTAATTTTTTTTTGCGGAATATAAAATGAAATTATTAAATTCTTTAAGAAATATAAAATTAGAAAAAAAAATTTTCATTTTTTTTTTAATTACACTAATTACTAATTATTTACTTTTGTTTCCTTTGCTATTACATTGTTCCATTTATTACTACTGATTACTTTGTTTTGTTTCTTTTTTTTCCTTCATTTTTTAAAGTCTTATTTTGTGCTTTTAATTTTAAAAATTTTCATTTTAAATTTAAGTTTTGATGTTTAGTATGATTATATATTTTTTTTTCTTAATCTTATAAAGAAGACATAATTCTTTCAGTGAAATATTAAATCCATGAAAATGACTAATACATGTTTATTGCTAATAACAAATGATTCATTTCATTTATTAATTTATATTTTAATTTTCATGTTATCTTTTTAAGAATTAAAAAAATTTTTTGGATATTTATTCATAATATAAATAATAATTATCAAATAATTCGAATAAAATAACTGTTGAAATAAATAATAATTATCAAATAATTCGATTAAAATAACTGCTAAAATAACTTAGTAAAAAGGTTATTAATTAAAATTTTCAAATAAAGAAAAATCTTTCTTAATACTTAAAAAAAAATGAGGTGAATTTGTTTATGAAATGGAGTGACAAATCAAAGGTGACACTAACTGGTATTTCAAATTATTATTCTTATTTTTTTTGTGGATAATATTTTATTTCAGAGAATTTCATCAATTTGAGCATTGCTGTTCAAAATGTATTCCCAGTTATTCACGAGAAATTTTGATGGGATATTCCGAAATTATCAATCAAATATGCATTTATAATTTTAAAGGTACAAATAATTAAATTTAAAATATTATTTAATTTTAGCATTCGTCAACAGTCAATCTATAGCTGACTTCTGCTTTCTTCTCAAATTTTCTTAATAACTACTAAAGTTAGTTTAACAATTCAAATTTAAATTTTGCTGTCCTTTCTAATATTATAAAAAATTATCCACTCTTCATTTCGAATATTTTAAAAAGCATTTAATTAATACTTCCGGAAGCAGTTATGTTATATTTCGACTTCTGCATTGCATTAATTTCTCATTTAAGAATGAATTGTGAAAAAAATATTTGTTAAATTCAGATATCAAAGAAAATTTTGGATGCTTAGCTGGATTGAATTCACAGATCAGACAACTTTGCATGCGCATTTGTACACCATATCAGGAAGCATTTCATTCTATAGCTCGAAATTTTCGACATTTCATTCTCAATAGTGACATAACCATTCTCGAAAATTACCTAAATGAATCATGCGAGTAAGTTATTTTAATCATTATTTAAATTAGTTATTTTAATCATTATTTAAAATACTTAGGTTATTTTAATGATTATTTAAATTAGTAAGTTATTTTAATAATTACTTAAATTAGTTAAGTTATTTTAATGATTATTTAAATTTTATTACTACAGTATTGTCGATAACATAATAAATGGAATTTGTATAAAGTTATAAGATTAATATTTATGATCTGTTACTCGAAATGATATACTTCATTTTTTTAGCTCATAACTATAAATCATATTGCAGTTAATTTGGTAATAAATTT